CTAGTAATATCAACTGTTTTTTAAATAAATAGTAATTGCTTGCATTTATTAGAGATGATGTTTTAGCAGTTGTTGGCAGATCATATAAGCCACCTTGAAAATGGAAAATCTTGTAACTTCTCGCAAGAAATGTTCCACGGATGAGAAAGCAGATTTGAAATCACTGTTTTGAAAGTACCAGTAAACTTCCTATGGTAAATGGCTGATTCGCCATAAATATGTCCCCATGTTAGATTGCTTCAACCAACTTTATTAGGATTACTTCATTAACAACTGAATTTGGTCCATGCCTCGGAAATAAGAAAGTATTGGATTTAGAGTTTAACACACTTTATACGATGAAGAGGCTCCCTAATAATGAAGGGAACAAAATCACACTGAAGATGCCCTAGATTATCACCCAAAATACTACTCTCACATTAACGATAACAACTTTGGTTACAAACAAATGGATAAGTGGAAAAAGGTCTGCTTGTGGAAACGAGCCTTTCCAAACAAGTTAGAAACTCAGTTAACCATCAGTACAATCGCCATAAGCCACCTCAGTAGGGAGTATTCCTAAGAGAAATCTACTTGAGACAAAATCTCTGGTTAACTGTAATGAGCGCAGTCTTTCTTGTGACGATCGCAAGATGCGCCCAAACAGGCGTTAATGATGTGTCAAAATTAGTCTCATTCGGGGATATCGCCAGTCCACACATTTATTTATAGAGAAAATAATTGCTTACACAAATGGTGTTCAGGAAAACGCTATACTATTTACTATGACAACCTCAAAGCTTTACTGTAATAGTAGCAGTAAACACTCACGAGGTAAGAAGCACTGCTAAAAACATTAACATAAATAAGAAGTGGAAATAAAATAAATCATTAAGAACATATTAGGAAGTTAACCGGAGTCTGTGATTGGAACTTCTATTACTCGTATCTTCATCAAAGGAATTCTATAAATAATTAATGATTTAAAATTATCTAATGTTATGCTATAAGCCTCCTTTGAATTGAAAATTGCATAGATTAATATTAAATTCTTCAAGAAAGGCGCTGCAACTCCCGAATAGTTTCTCAGAATAATGAGATAATCCTGCTCTTGAAAACACGTTTCGGATATTACCTTTTCCATTAATCTATTTTATACAATTTGGTCCATTAAGGATAATGCCACGATAGTAAAAATAGATGTGAAAATGCCGTATTATAGAAGACAGTGGTTTTGCATATTTTGCCTGATTGAAGTTACATAAGAGTTAAAAATACTATGAAATGTGTCTGGTTCTTGAAAGCGTGGTAAAAGCGGAACCTTGTGAAAGGAGAGAAAGAGATTAACCCCATGAGGAATTCTTACATTCTTGTTTCCAATAAAGAGTTTAACTTTGTAGCTAATTCTATAAATCGAGTGATGTGAACAGATTGCAATTGAAGAATGAACGGCTTAGAAGTTGAAGAAACCTGGTCCAAACTTTCGAAAATTCACACGGTAATGACATACATATATGTATATATCCAGGAAAGTGTTTGTGAGAGTCCCGTTGATTAACCTCTTCACATTAATGTCTAGAGCCTGAGAGCTTCAGAAACAACGAGACCTCCAAT